TCATATTTGGTATACTTACGTATTTCTGCGTGTAGATTACAGGAAAAACATAGCGAGCACAATTGGAGTTGATGTTCATATTGTTTTTAAGAAAAACTCATATTTTTAGGAAAAATCATGGATTTTTCGAATAAAAAAAGAAGAAAATTTTATCCTAAGGGATCCAAATTTATTCTTTTTTACGTATTTTTAGTTGTAGATTACAAAAAAAATATAGCGAGAACGATTGGAGTTAATTATCATTGTGTTTTCAAGGAAAAACTAATAATTTTCGATAAAAATCATGATTTTTCCCCAAAAAACGAAGAATATTTTATCTAAAGAGTTTCAAATTTATACACTTTTACGTATTTTTGCGTGTAGATTACAAAAAAAATATAGCGAGAACTCCAATTGTGCTTGCTATATTTTTTTGTAGTGTTTTGCCATTCTTTATAATTTGCCATTTTCTTTTTTTTACCATTTGCTATTTTTTTTATCTTTTGACATTTATTTGTTGATATTTTTATTATTTGGTAAAATCTAAAAAAATCATAAAATTGAAAATGTTAAATGATAAAAAAATTAAAAAATTTTTAAAAACTTATGATATGTATTTCCATGCTCACATTACAAGAAAAATTAAGCAAAATTGGAATTTTTCCATCGGCCTTCACACTTTAAACTCCTCAAATTTTAGGATTAGGGGTACGGAACCCTCGGTTTTTATGCGAGTGTAACTCGCACTTGTCCGATTTTTTTTTATTAAAAATGTGACTTCTTCGACTTTTAAAAACATTTTTTAGATAAATACAACTTTTTTTAGTATAAAATATATAAACATTTTTGCAAATTTGAATAATTAAAAAAAAATTTTAACTAGAATACTTCACAAAAATTAATTATTTTCAATAATTTTAATCAAGTTCTTTAAAAATTTCCATTATTTAAAACAATTTTTCAATTTAAAATTCTCTAAAATTCAATTATTGTTTAAAATTTTGTTAATAATTTTCATTAAGGCCAGGTCCAAGTGAGGCAGCGCCATCTATATTGAAACTAAAATTTTAGAAAATTTTCAACAGCCTTTTCTTGAAAACAAGAAGGTAAAATGCTATTTCCTTTATGGATAATTGATTATTGGCAAGATATACACCAGCTAAAACTTTTTTTGATTTAAAATAATAAAAAAAATTTCATGTCAATAAATTAAATATGAGCACTTTTTTCACAAAAACTGTAACAGTACTTTCTCAGAAATTACAATCAAAAATACAATTTCCATTTGGAAAATTAATAAACGCTAAAACATACACGACCTAAGATTTACCAATCACGAAAATAACAAAAAAAAAAGTATTTTAACATAACATATTTTACTCATTATGACAGCCTTTTGGCAGGTTATATATGTCACCAGACGTTTCGCAGTTTTGCCGAAAGGAGGAGATTGCCGCTGTTGCTAACCACCTGAAATACATAATCTACCAAAGGGCTGTCACAATCAGTAAAGCATTATCAATATGTTAAATATTTAATAAAAATTTTTTTTTGTTATTTTCGTGATTGGTAAATCTTAGGTCGTGTATTTTTTAGCGTTTATTAATTTTCCAAATGGAAATTGCATTTTTGATTGTAATTTCTGAGAAAGTACTGTTACAGTTTTTGTGAAAAAAGTGCTCATATTTAATTTATTGACATGAAATTTTTTTTATTATTTTAAATCAAAAAAAGTTTTAGCTGGTGTATATCTTGCCAATAATCAATTATCCATAAAGGAAAAAGCATTTTACCATTTTGTTTTCAAGAAAAGGCTGTTAAAAAATTTCCAAAATTTTAGTATCAATGTAGATGGCGCTGCCTCACTTGGACCTGGCCTTTAAAATAATTTGAATAAAAAATCCATATATTTCATAAAATTTTAAATGAAAATTTTTCAAAATTGAATTATTTCTAAAAATTTTATCAAAAATTTATTGTTCAATTTATTATTTTTGGTAATTTTAATAAAGTTCTTCGAAAACTAAATCCTATTTAATTATTTTTTCAATTTAAAAATTATCTAAACTTTAAAATTATTGTCTAAAGCTTATAAAAAATCTGTCTACAATTTAAATTTAGGAAAATTTTAATTAAAAATCTCATGAAATTCAATTATTTGTAAAAATTGTTTCTAAAATTCTTTGGTAAATTATTTATTTCAATAATTGTTATCAATTTTGTTCAATAATTATTAAATTATTTAAATCATTTTTTAATTCCAAATTCTCTAAAATTCAATTATTGTTTTAAATTTTGGTAATAATTTTCATTAATTCAAATTTACAATAGATAATTTCAATTATTTTCAACTTAAATTCTTTATTGAATTAACGATTTCTAAATACTAATGTACTTTTTAAGAAATTTAATTATTTAAAACATAATTAAAATTTTCTAAAAATCCATTATTATTTAAAATATATTTACCGAAATTCTGAATTCGAATAATTTTTATAAATTAGATTTTAATTTTCTTAAAAAAAGTAATTTTTTCAAAAATTTGTCCTTGGAATCTTGAAAATTTTGTCTAAATTAAATTTTAAAATGTATTCTAAATAAAAATTCTTGAAAATATTTCAATGACACATTTTTATTAAGAAATAAATAAAATTCATTTAATTTCTAATAATAAAATGTTTGTTATCTAATTAAATTTGTGAATGAAAAATTATAAAATATGTTTTTGCAAAACAAAAATACCTCAAAGCTTAACTGAATGTGTGGTTTAATCTATAAATTAACCCTTAATATTTACTAATGTAATATTCATAGTACCCTAAAAATTCCCTTATTTTAAAATTTTCAGTCCCCTAAAATATTTTTTAGGATCACTGTGAAGTCTGAATTTCAAATGGCAATCAAGATGAAAATTCGTTTATTAGAATGTGAATTTACTAGAATTCGTATTATTTTAAATGATTAATTAATTAAAAATATTTTCAGCAAATGTTTAATTCATCTATTTTTTAATTATTAGAATTTTTAATCACATCAATTTATTTTTTACAAAACTTTAATTAACAAAATGTTTTTATAACCTAAAATTTATTTCTCATAATTATTTATTTAATTATTATATGTCCTAATTTTGAATAGCACAAATTGTAATTAAAACTAATATTTTTGGGACCTAAATTTATATATTTATATGGGTGAAAATTTCCCAACTGGGCCACCTAAAACTGACTTTTCAAATTAAAAATATTTTTTTTCATAACTGAATATTTTGTTACCTTTCTACTAAATTTGCAATTACTCTGTTGCTTGTTAATGAAATTTAATAAAATTTTGTGAGTATATAGAAAAATTATGTCCCTTTGAAATGCAGTAGAAATTTCAATTAACCTTTATTGCTTATGCAAAAAAATTATTTATTTAATAAACAAATGAATATTTAATCTATTTCTCATATGTTTAGGAAAAAATTTAAAAAACTACATAAATCTACACTTTCTTAACTTTAATTTAGAAAAAAAAATCTCAGTACCTTTAAAAACCCTTATATTATAAAGTATAAACTTACTTTTTCTGTATGAAATTAATAATTAGAAAATGAAGATTCGAAATGTCTCATTATAGCATTGAACACTGTGGTTTTAAAAAAAATGCAATTTTGAAAATTTATTTTTATTTATTTATTTATGGACGGGACAAGCCCATTCGTACAAATAGTACTCCAAAATTCTATTAGTTACAGAAGTAACAATACAAAATAAGAAATATTAATTAAATCTAAGTTGGCGTTTTAAAATTTAAAGTTCAGTATAAATCTATACAATAAAGAAAATAAATCTGATTACATTATTATCAAAGGAAAACATTAATATTTTCAGAAATTAAATTTGCTTAACTTTTTTTTTTTTTTTTGATTGACAGATTCTAATTGGGTTTGCGATGGAACGGCTCAATGTTCTGATGGTTTTGATGAAGCAAATTGTTGTCGTTCTGGACAATTTCAATGTAGTTCAACAGGCTCTTGTATTTCTGAAACTTTATTGTGCGATGGTTGGAAAAATTGTGCAGACGGAAGTGACGAGAATACCGTTGCTTGTACATCAGTGAATAATCAACAGGAATCACTTTCACCAGTTGACGCTGGAAAAAGTACCTATATTCTTGTAATTTTAGTAACAATGATTGTGTTTGCAAGTGGTGGTATATTCGTCTATTACTGCCGAAAAAAGATTTCATCAAATGGCGAACTTCCAGACATATTGTACGATTCAGCGGGTGATCCATTATCACCGAAACCCTGCAGAATTGCTAAAGCAACATTGGTTCATAAAGGTGGTAGAAAAGATCCTAAACTAGGAATGGATACTGTAAGAATGTCTGCGTTAAATGGCAGCAGCATTGGATCCAGTTATGATCGCAGTCACATAACAGGTATTTATCATTAAAATAAATAATTTTTTTTTCAGGAAACTAATTTAATGATAACAAATTTATTTATTGGGGTTTCAATGTTATCAATTTATTTTTTGTTGTTCGTGACTTTTTTTTTTATTTTATGGATTTATGGGGATTTGGGTCACGTGGTATTTTCCTTCAAACAGGGCAAGCGGAAGTGACGAAATGGCGCAAGCGTGTTGACTTATGTTGAACTAATGAACTCTCCTTCATTTGAACAACTCGTTGAATACATTTAATACAGAAAAACAAATATTAAATGCGACTATGACCTGAGAATTCTGGACGATCACTAGCGATTTATTTACAAATTTTTATTCGCAATTTAGTTATTTATTTACAAAAAAAAAAATAATATTTACGAAAAATTGTGCAAAATCACAAGCTTTTATCATTTATAATAAACTCTAATAATTTTTTCTTTTCTTTGCGTTGTTCTAACAAACTCTTTTTTAAATTTTTCAAACAAATTCTGAAGCACTTAGCACAAAAATGAATTATTTGAAAAAACAAAATTTCGACCACTTTTTGGAGGTGATTATTTGTCGCTAAAGAATTAATATTTTTAGGTGCTTCGAGTTCAACGCGCGGTAGCTCGACAGGTGGTTATCCACAAGAAACATTAAATCCACCGCCTAGTCCCGCGACAACTGCAAATTCCACTAGATGCTCGAGTAGTAATGCATCTCGATGCAGACCATATCGTCATTACAGAAGTATGAATCCACCGCCACCACCAACTCCCTGCAGCACTGATGTTTGCGATGAATCCGACAGTAATTATCCCACACGATGGAGATATGAAGCAGAGCCTTTTCCACCTCCACCAACGCCAAGATCTGTTTATCACAGTGATATTGCAATTAGTTGTCCACCTTCTCCAAGCTCAAGATCATCAACATATTTTCATCCACTGCCACCGCCACCATCACCAGTACCGTCTCTCACAAAACGAGACCGTTAAAGACTGAATATTTATTTTAAAATCGCATTTTTTTTAACAAAAAAAAAAAATATACAGGGTGTCCTTGAAATTCTTGAAAAATTCTTTAATTTTTTTTTTTGGGGGGGGTCTTGAAAATCCTTGAATTCTATAACACAAAACATTGAATTTTTAAAATTTTCTAAAATAATGATATTTATTTCTTAAGGTGAGGCACTATCTTATTATTTTTACTCCTTTAAATTTAAATGATCGCGGGAAGTCGTAATATTTTAGGTCCTAAAAAACATACAGGTTAGTCAGCAATAGAAAATAATAATTTTTAATCAGTTTAAAATTTATAATCCAAAAACAGGGTTGCTATGGATCAGGGAAAAGTCAAGGAATTTTATGAAAAGTACTGGAAAAATATCAAATTTCTAAAAATTCTACTAAAATAATAATTTTTGACATTTTCAATTCAAACTTTTGTTGCTAAAAATTATTCTCTTACATTTTTATAATTGTAGACCTCGAATCGACTTTTGAAAGAAAAAAAAAAGTCATTTTAGTCGATTTACATTACAAGAAAAGTCTAAAAATTCGATTTTTTTAATTTCAATAAATTTAATCAATTGATAAATATTTTATTTTTATTAACAATTTGTTATTGGAAATAAAATAAAATTTATTAATTCCTTAATAAAAATGTTTCACAGAAATATTTTTCACAATTTTTCTTTTTAAATCACCGAATGAAACTGAGACAAATTTTCAAGATTTCAATTCAGTTTCAGAACAAATTTTGAAAAATAATAATTTAAAATTACATTTAAAAAAAAAAGAAAATCTCTCAAGTCTGATTTATGAACATTATTCGAATTCAGAATTTTGGAAAATGTTTAAATAATTAAATTTTCGAAGAATTTGATTAATATATATCTAATGTTAAAAAAAAATTATGTTTAAATGGAAATTTTTGAAATAATTGAATTGCAAAAGACTTCTAATTATAATTTTAAAAACAATTGAATTTAAAAGAGTTTGATTAAAAATTTTTAGAAATAATTGAATCTCAAAAGATTTTCAAATAAAATTTTTATCAATTTGAATTAAGGAATTTTTTTTACAAATTTCAGACAATCATTGAATTTTTTAGAATTTTCAAATGAAATATGTTCTAAATAATTGAATTTTAATAAAGTTACAGTTAAGATTTTTTGAAATAATTGCATTTTTTGAGATTTCAAAAATTATAATTTTGTTGTAAATATAAATATTAATTAAAAAACGATTTAATGTAATTGAATTTTTGAAAAATTGTATTAAAACTGTTGAAATAATTAATTAAACAAAGAATTATATAGATAAAAATAATTGAATTTTTAAAAAACTTGATTAAAGTTATTAGAAATAATTAATTAAAAAAGAAATTGAAGTTAAACATTTTAGAAATAATTGAGTTTTGGAAGAGCAATTGTTAAAATTTTTGTAACTAATTGAGTTTCAGGAGATTTTTAATTAAAATTTTCGTAAATTGGAATTCCTGTAAATATTTTATAAGTTTTAAACAATAATTAAACTATGGAGAATTTTGAAGTGAAAAATGTTTTAATAATTGAATTTTCGAAAATGTTGATTGAAATTATTAAAATTATATTATTTAACAAAGAATTTTAGATACGAAATTTAGAAATAATTGTATTTTATATGAGTTTGAGTTAAAAATTTTAGAAATAATAATTGAATTTCAGGAAATTATTGATTGAAACTTTCATTTTTAATTAGTGAAATTTTTTTTAAAAAACTTTAGACAATAATTGAATTTTAGTGAATTTTCAATTGAAAACAGTTTAATCATTAAGTAATTTTCAAATAGTTTGTTTTAAATTATTGAAAATAATTGATTTTGCAAACAATTCAAGTTAACACATTTTAACATATTTTTTTGTTGTTTTCTTCCAAAAATTAAATTTTTTTAAAATATTATACTTTTTTCACATTTTCTACCTACTATTTTCTATCGTCAATTTTTTTCACGCTTTTTAAATAATTTTTTTCAAATGATAATTCTGTTAAATGGAAATTTGGTTAAATTGGAATTCTTTTAAATGAAAATTCAGTTAAATAAAAATTCTATAAAATATAAATTCTTTTAAATTTGAATTCAGTTAATTCAAATTTCTGTTAAGTGAAAATTAGATGAAAAAACAATTATGTTAAATTAAAACTTTGAATTATGAAAATTTCGCAAAATCATATAATTGTGATTTATGATTGCTTTATTGTCATAAATAAAACAATATTTTCATAGTTTTTACGTCGAAAGTGGAATTTGAAAAAATTTATTTTTGACCTTGAATTTTTTTTTTCAAGAATTGCTGGACATCCTGAAAAAAAATTCTTTATAATTCTTTAAAAAACAAAAAAATGTTCAATACACGTGTGCGTATTTGAAAACAAAATACGAAATCCCCACGTCTTGCATTGAACATTTGTTTTAAAGTGAAATCGATGCAAGATGTTTTGTATATTTTAATCTCTCTTTAAATTACATAAGCGTAAATATATGTAAAAAGAGAAAGAAATTATAGAGATATTATGGAAACCGCAAAGTGTTCCATACCTTTATTTTATATTTGTAAACAGTCGAACTGTAAGATATAGACAAAAACGATTTTGTCGATAAAAATTTAAATACAAAAATATCCTTCTTGTAAATTATTTAAAGGGCTGATATAATAATTGCGAGTTATCAAAGAAAATTGAAACATAAGAAAGTTCATACAAGTTTCAATTTAGTGAAACGTTAAAAAAATATACACTACGATCAAAAATAAATTAAAATTCTCATATTATATCAAAAGTTTTATATTAAAAAAATGGTTGAAAAATTCGACTGACAAAAATGTTTAAATAAAAGACTGGAATTTTTTTACATATAGAGATAAGAAAGTTATAAAATTTAATATTTAGATACAAAATTTTGTGATAGTTTACGTAACAAAATAAATATACACACATATATTGTTAAAAAAAAAGAAATAAACTTCAAAATTAAAATTTATCGTATTACGCGATTTGATTTACGTTCGACTGTATTACTTTTTTTTATTACTATAACATTTATTAATTTTGTAATATTAATTTATAATTTTGTAATATTAACTTAAAATCTTGTAATATTAATTTAAATTTTTTTAACAATCTAATATTTTTTTTTAGTAAAAACTATAGTTTTCCTACTGTAAATAAAGTGTCTTCTACTGATTAAATAAAAATGAAATCATTTAAATAAACGACAAATTTTTTTTATAAATTTATTATTACATTTAGTACCTAACCACGTTAATCTACTAAAGAAAATTAAGAATTATAAACTTACTCATATTTTTTTAAAATTATAAAAAATAGGAACACATGATTATCCCATAAAAATCATTAGTCAGATTTTTATTTTATAAAATTTTACTAAATATAATTATTATTTTAAAAAAATTTTATTTGTCGAATTAGCATTTGACAGAATTTCATTTTAAGGGTGTCGAACGGTTTCTGAAATTCTTTGGCAAGGAGAGGCCTTTAACTGTCGCCTTATAAAAATGGCACTGAACGTGAAAATGATAAACATTGATTTTAAAATACTTTTTTCTCAAAACACGAACACTTTTTTACAAAATCGGCCAAAACATTGAGGTTCTTTATTTTATAAGTTTTAGACAAGAAGACTAGAACCAGGAGGGAAAACTCCGTTGTAAAGATGCGGCGTGAAAAAAAAACCACTAGAAGGCGTGGCTTATCGTTCGTGCTTTGCTATTCAGACGAATTTGAGTGTTCTGCGCATACTTTCTTGACACTGATATTTGAAATGTAGCAGACGCTTTTTTTTAGTTTCTGTTTATGCGGTTATGGCAAATGGTTTACCCATAAATTTTTTGATGCGATTATTTAATAAAATTGTTGCTTTTTCATAAAAAAAATTTTACTGTCATCCACTTTTTGCTCGGTAAATTTAACATAGACATATTCTTTTCAATATTTTTGAAATTAAATTGCATCGTACTTTGATCCATTGTTAGTGACTTTTTTAGTTTGAAAGTAGAATAATCTATAAAAAATTGAAATACTATTTTATGTTTATTTGTTAAAATAAAATGTGCATGCAAGTATTACGTTTTAAAAAAGAAGATAAATACCTTGAAAGGATTATAATTGTTAAATCACAACAACTCACTGTTTACTTATTTAATTGTTTATATATACTTTTCTCAAGACTTTCCTTTATATATATTATCTCGCTTTTGACATTTCTAATCTAACTAAGCAGACGCAAACATTTGCAGCTGCTTGTTACGAAATTTCCCCTTCAAAACCTACAAGGTTAGTATGCGCAGAATTCTTAAATTCGTTCTATTAGCAGTACACGAACTTAAATGACACGCCCACCGTGTGCACGTTTACCATGCCACTACTCACTGTGGTAAAGCGTGGAAGTTTCACCTCCTGGTTCTAGTCTTCTTGGTTTTAGAGGTGTGCAAAAAGCTCGAATTTCGAGTCGAGTCGAACCTGAGCTTGACTCGAGATATCGAGTACATACTCGAATTTTTCGAGCACTCGAGTGAATATTCGGGTACTCGAAAACGTTCGAGTTTTTTATACAGCTCGACTCGAACTCGACTCGAGATCGATTTAATAATGCTCCACTCGGTTCGACTCGAAAAATCTCGATCGAGTTTCGAGCTTTTTGCATACGACTAATAAATTTCCTAAATATGAAAGATTTGTATGAATCCAAACAAAAACGAGATGGCATTAACTAAGTATAAATTAAAATTCATTAATAAAAATCTCAATTCGCTCTGCTTAAACAACAACATTACCGCTAGCGAAAAATTTACCAATCTTTACAACTCTATCCACATTTGGATTAAAAATCAGATCATCCAAATCAAAGTTATCAGGATTAAAATCAGTTATCTTAGTATTTAGATCCCAAAAGACAGCCGGTCTCCCAGTGGAGAGAATAGGACAATCGCTAAGTAAATGTTTGAGATCGTTATATTCCGCACCACACTCACACCCCAAAGGAAGAGTCCACCGCATTCTAGCAAAGTGCTCCCCCGTACAAATATGCGAGGTCCGCAACCTGGTCAAAATATTGATGTATCGACGTGAGCCTTGAATTCCTTTAAACCAAGGTCTTTTGGTTTTGCAATTAACCCTGGTATAATATCTGTTACGTGAGTGCTATATGACAGCATATTGCCAATTTAGGGATTTCCACGACTAAAAATCTCGCTCTAACAGAGAAATAAAGTTTCGATGGGGGGGTACCTGAGAAGTTCCCAAAAGGCAAGTATAGTGATTTTTTAACCACTAAGTCTGCCTTTTCATTCCCCTTGATCCCTATATGCGTCGGTATCCAGAAAAATGGGACCCTTCCACCCAAGTTCTTCAACTCAAAAATTACTTTAAGAATTTTTTTTAATAAAAGGATGAGGATCTTTATTGAATATTCTTTCATCAAACTCTTGTAAAAATT